CCCCAGCCCCCCGGCAGCCTCAAATGGTTGGGGACCACTGGTCTAAACCATTCTGAATTATAATCCTATCCTCCAAAGCTTGGCAACAACTACCAGCTTATCATCTGCAAACTTCAGATGTGTACTCTTTATGCCATTATCTAAATCATTGTTGAATATATTGAACAGAACTGATGCCTTTGGAGCTCATCATGCCCTTCTAGCATGCCTGTGACAGCCTCAAATGGTTGGGGACCACTGGTCTAAACCATTCTGAATTATAATCCTATCCTCCAAAGCTTGGCAACAACTACCAGCTTATCATCTGCAAACTTCAGATGTGTACTCTTTATGCCATTATCTAAATCATTGTTGAATATATTGAACAGAACTGATGCCTTTGGAGCTCATCATGCCCTTCTAGCATGCCTGTGAACCACTGATAATGGTTATCCAACCAGTTATGCACTCCCCTTATAGTAGCTCACATTTAGCTTGTATTTCTCTAGAAAGTCATGCAAGATTGTATCAAACATCTAGATATAATGCTGAAACAAAAGATGTTTTTGTTTTAAGTTGATTTAAAGACAACTGAAAAGTTCATTCACTCTCTTCCTAGGAATTAATCTGGAATAATAATATTCATGACATACTCCCCTCACATCTGTGGTTTATACGAGCTCTTCACTTCCTACCACAGAAGCTTTTAACAAATTCTGTCTTTGCAGCAAGTCAATTTTTTCCTATTGCATAAGCCAACCCAGCACTGAGCTGGGAATTGTGAACACCTGCAATACTGAAAACCACACATCCATTTGCTGCTAATTTAGCCATGAAAGAGTATATTGATTGTATGGCAACAGTTCTTGTAAACATGGGCCAGATTCTCATTTCAAATGCATGCCTCTGCACACCATGAAAAGCCTCTCATGCATGCAGAAACTCAGCCATTGAGATATGCAACGAAGTCTGTTAAGTACAGGAATCTGGTGCCATGTGTTTTGACTTCATCTTCAGTGTCAACTAATGGGAGGCAGAGAGAGAATCTGCTCCTACAAATCAAACTAGTGCCTATAGCTAGCTAAGAAAGCCAGTCACAACTGCTGTATCAAGCCAGCATTTAGACAACAGTTTTAGCTTTTCTGGACGCTTTGACAATTCAATCTCTTGTAAATCACTGTATTGATCACTATGGCATAAATGCCAGCAATGATGTAAAATGGGTACCTGGTGATTTTGCTCCACTCCTCTTCCACCATGTAAATGTAACTGTCCAAGACCAACCTGAAAAATGAAACAAAGACCTAAAGAATAGGGTAACCCCATATATAGAAGCATGCAATTACAAATTGAATAAATTAATCACATTCACAGCAAACAGCATACCAAATTATTTATCAGAGATAAAAATAAAAGGAAATGAGCTTGAAAACAAAATTATTCTGCTTCATTAGCCACAATAATTGAGGCACAAGGGTGACTAAAGCAAATGAGTTGATTCCCAGGTTTATTATTCTTGTTATGATATAAAAGATTCAAGGATGTTCATTCTAGTTTTTAAAATGATACCTTCTCCATTCTGTTTGCTATGATCAGGCATCTCTCTCAGTTCTTTTGTTTCATTCTATTAATGTGGATTAAATATAGTGAAAGGGAATCATGTTTACACTATGCAGACAGCAAAACCCTCTACTCAGAGAATAGATACAATGTGGGCAGTGGCAGGCAAAGCTTCCTCCACCTGGCTCTATCAGTGTGCTTCAAACATGAAAAATCAAGGCAAGTTGAGCATGCTAAAAGGAGTCAAAAACAGTTGAAATATGTACACTTGTCCACTGGTAAGTTGACTGAAAACAATTAGTTTTACATGCAATTGATTTTTAAATTATTTGCCATCAATAACAAAGCAATAAGGAATTGATTATTGCCATATATTTACAACAAGAGTTAACTGCAACATCTCAGATAGCATTTCAAGATTATTGCTGGCAAAAACTTTCTTTAAATGACTATTACTGTACATTTCTTTATAACAACTTTTGAACTCCATCAAAGACCACTGACTTCTACTTAATCGTATCATCACTGCCATATATGGCCAATATGTGGTTGGTCCAAAGACCATTCCAGAGTTGTGCCATATTTATTCCTCCAGCAGACCAGGGAGACGGGGAGCAAAGCGGAGCAAAGCCGCGGAGCACGCCGGCAGCAGGACAGCCGCGGTGCGTCTGGGCTGTCCCGCTGCCCCCGTGCTCTGCGGCTTTGCTCCGGTCGCCTGTGGTACAGCAGCTGGGGCGCTGCCGGTTGGTCCCGTAGCGCCGCTCTGGGCGCTACTGGACCAACCCGGCA